TTTTTTTTATTTAAATATTTTAAAAATAATTTAGTTGTTATAAAATATTTAAGTAAAATAATTTAACATGACTTTTAAAAGATATTTTGTTAATTTTTTTTGACGTTTAACATCTCGTGATTAATAAATAAAAGCTTTTACTGTAGTGTTTTATTCTAAAATTAATTAATTATCTTTAAAGTCTTAAAATTACTTTAAATATTTTATTCTTTTACTAATTTTTATTTAAATTTATTTGTAAGAACTTAGTTTGTAACATAGTTTTATTTTTGATTATGATCAACAACTCGACGTGTTTTTATTTGTTTATATACTAAAGAAAAAGCGTATAGTAAGCAATATATTCCTGAAAATATTCCTAGGAACAGAAATGTGTAAACAGAAATTTACACATTTTTACTATCCAAGACAAGAAAAATATATTAAAATTTCTATAAGTTCTATCTGAAAAATATGTCACGAAGCAGAATAATCAGAATAAATGGTGCAATATTTAAATATAAATATACTTAGAAAACAAAGTCAAAAATGGGTACTTTTCTCAACCAAAAAACTGTCATATGCTATATATTTTAAATTTATTCTAAGCTTCTTTCTTCTTTTTCCTTTCTATCTTTGTGTTTTTTATGTATTCTTCTGTTGTAATCAATCATTGTTTTCTGAAGTTTCTATTAACACACAATGCTACAGATCAGGAAAGAGATTATACACACTTCTTCAACCATCAATTACTTTTTACATATTTATTTTTCTTATTATTAATTTTTTTGATTAAATTTCAATTCCTGATTCTTATATATAATATTTATTTTATCTCTAATTTTTATATATTATAGCTGACTGCAGTTTTCTACTGGCTAATGCCCAAATTGTGGACTTTCCTATCGTATATTGCTCCGAAACATTTTGTAAACTTGCGGGTTATAACAGAGCTGAGGTGATGCAGAAGAGTTGTCGTTGTAGTTTTATGTTTGGTGAGTTAACAGACAAAGCCACTATATCGAGGATAGAACAGTGCCTGGATAATCAATCGCTTGACCAAGTGGAGATCCTTCTCTACAAGAAAAACCGTAAGTTAATGTCATATTTAAAGAATTTTTACAGTTTAAAATACATTTATTTCAACAGAATTTATTAAAAAATCATTAAAAATATAAAAATATGACCAAACATTAGAAGACATAAGTTAAAATTTTAGATAAATCCCCATCCTCCCAGTTTATCAAGACTTTTCCCTTTGGAGTCGTTGAAGAATTCTTCAGAAAACTTTATCATTTCTACACTTTAATAAAGCCTTTAACTCTTATCTGATGTCTAAAAGATTCTTCCATAACTAATTTCTAAAAGAAAATTAAAATTTAAGGTATATTTTAATATATAGAAAGTTCCCATTTAATTTAAAATTAAATAAAAAGAGTTAATTAATTTTATTAAAGAATTTATTTTAAAATTAAAAATATATGCCATATTTAAAATTAATAAATGCTTCTTGGAATCGCCCGAAGTAAAAGAATAGCGTGAAGATGAGAAGAAAGTAATTCTTGCGTAACTAATGCGCAAACAATGTTTAATTTAAGTCGACTCATAAAATCTGCCTCTCACACAATATTTATGTTGAAAGAAGTTCTGGATTAATATAATAAACAGCTGTCATTTGTTTTTGATTTCTTTTACTTTTAAATTATTACAATTTTATAATAAAATTTGTCATTTTATGAGATTAAATTCACTTACATCATTAATCTTCTTCAAATTTATAAGTTTTAAATATACATTCAAATTCTTTAATTGATAAACATTCTTAGTTATAAACGTCGAAGCTATTTTCATTTTTTTTAAAAACTATTCTCGGATAAAATAGAATTTACGATAAAATAACGCACAGTACAGTGAAACCTGTGAATAAAGACCAGGAACAGAAACAAAAATATAATCTTTATGGAGGTTATTTTGCATATATTTCTGCTTAACACTCTAATAACGGCAGCCGTTTGTAGGTGGCTTTTATTAGAGGGTCGACTGTATATTAAAATTTAAATGAATTTTATCTTAGTTTATACAGTGAACTCCTGTATAACGCGCTCCTCTATAACGCGGAACTTATCCCCGCGTTGTACGCGAATCTGTTATAATTCATTCGATATAGCTTTGATTATTAGAAAGTATAATACAAACTTCCTGTACGTTATATTATATAAGTTGAATTAATCATAAGTGATAACTTAATTCATCATCATACATCGATAATAATGCTGATCAAGTGTTCCTCCATTCTAAGATAACAAAATTATGATATTTATATATAATATCTAATGAACGTTCTACTACTTGAAAAACGTTAATTTACTTAATGAAAACTTCAATTTTCAGTCTTTTTTTAATGAAAATAATGATAAAAACCGAAGTAATTCTTGAAAAATTAACTAGAATGTCGGCATTTTTAGTTTATATATTTAATATAAGAACTCTTCTATTAAAATTATAAATAAATTAACGATTTATTTGCATTGTGATATAAATTCCGTTTTATAAGCTNGTAAAAGAATAGCGTGAAGATGAGAAGAAAGTAATTCTTGCGTAACTAATGCGCAAACAATGTTTAATTTAAGTCGACTCATAAAATCTGCCTCTCACACAATATTTATGTTGAAAGAAGTTCTGGATTAATATAATAAACAGCTGTCATTTGTTTTTGATTTCTTTTACTTTTAAATTATTACAATTTTATAATAAAATTTGTCATTTTATGAGATTAAATTCACTTACATCATTAATCTTCTTCAAATTTATAAGTTTTAAATATACATTCAAATTCTTTAATTGATAAACATTCTTAGTTATAAACGTCGAAGCTATTTTCATTTTTTTTAAAAACTATTCTCGGATAAAATAGAATTTACGATAAAATAACGCACAGTACAGTGAAACCTGTGAATAAAGACCAGGAACAGAAACAAAAATATAATCTTTATGGAGATTATTTTGCATATATTTCTGCTTAACACTCTAATAACGGCAGCCGTTTGTAGGTGGCTTTTATTAGAGGGTCGACTGTATATTAAAATTTAAATGAATTTTATCTTAGTTTATACAGTGAACTCCTGTATAACGCGCTCCTCTATAACGCGGAACTTATCCCCGCGTTGTACGCGAATCTGTTATAATTCATTCGATATAGCTTTGATTATTAGAAAGTATAATACAAACTTCCTGTACGTTATATTATATAAGTTGAATTAATCATAAGTGATAACTTAATTCATCATCATACATCGATAATAATGCTGATCAAGTGTTCCTCCATTCTAAGATAACAAAATTATGATATTTATATATAATATCTAATGAACGTTCTACTACTTGAAAAACGTTAATTTACTTAATGAAAACTTCAATTTTCAGTCTTTTTTTAATGAAAATAATGATAAAAACCGAAGTAATTCTTGAAAAATTAACTAGAATGTCGGCATTTTTAGTTTATATATTTAATATAAGAACTCTTCTATTAAAATTATAAATAAATTAACGATTTATTTGCATTGTGATATAAATTCCGTTTTATAAGCTTTGTTATTTATAGATTTTATTGACATAAGTATTATTTGAATGCTTTTCACATTTACTTTTATAGGCAAACTATAAATTTCTCAACGTTTTCTATAGCTTATTGCAGTTTTATTTGTTAAATTTGGAAAATTCTTTTAAAAATTTATGTACTAAATATAATAATTATATTAAATTATATTAATATGAAAGATTAAATTTTTCAGTAAAATAAAAATATTATTTAATCTTTTCTATTCCGTTTCTTTAATGACAGATGAAAATAAAAAATTTGGATTAAAATCAAACTTTTTAAATTTAAAATACAAACAAAAAATTACTTTTTAAATTCTTTTTCTTTAACAATTTTCCTTCTATTTTTAAAATTTTGTAAATCTTAATTTTAAAATTTCAATTAAAAAATAAATAAACATTAATGTAAATTAAATGGGTTTATATATATACATTTGTAAATTTAGAATGTTGATAATTTAAAAATAAATAAATAAATAATTGCGACGTTTTTAGAAAANTTTTTTTTCCACTTTCATTCTAACTACAATAATAAATACTACAAATTTTTATTTATTTTTTAATCAATTTATGTATCTATAAATAGAAAATAATAAAAATAATATATTTTAGTAGAAAGTCTTTAAACATTTTATTATATTTCTAAAAATTTTGTTGATGGTTACAAGTAAAAAGTTGAAAATATTTCTTTATAATTTATATAAAATCTCTGTGAATATATAAATATAGGCCTAATAAAACTTTAAATCGAAGGACAAATTAATTTTTAATATTTATATTTTTAAATTTTTAAATAAATGTTTGAAAATACGAGGCATATGAATAAGATATAGCTTAGGGACGAGAACTAGGATGAGAAGGAGGAGAGAAGGATCTGCTCTCCTCCTTCTTATCCCTAAGCAATATCCTCTTTTCTTTAACCTATTCCTTTGAGTAGGCTCTACTCCCTAATAATAATATTCTGATATCAAATTTAAAGTTTCTTACACGTGTACAGAATTGATGACTAAATAAATGAATATCATAATAAAAATAATTAAATTTTAAAAAATTCAAATAATTTTATTATAAAATAGATTAATTTTTCTCCTTTCGTATAAGGGCGTTTAGCCAATTTTATAATCGTGAAGATTAAAAAATAATATTTAAGATGGATGACCAGCGATGTTGTTTGTTTCCTTATGAAAATGTTTAGGTTAAAATCCTTTAAAATTTATTAAGTTAGGAAGAAGAAAGGAAGAAAAAAAAACTGCAAATGTTAAATTGAACATAAGATTAATTTTGTTGCTTTAAGAACTATTTTTTTGCATCTAATCGAATTAAAGTAAGCGCCTTTACATACGAATCTATTTTAAGTTTGACCCAGTTGCATGTTAATTAGTAGGTAATTATTTAAATACTTTTTAACAGTCATCAGTTTGTCTCTTGAGAAATTTTGATCCTGTGAATTATGAAGATCGATTATTTTAATTTATTATAAATTAATTTAAAGTAAGATTAACAATGAAATACTTCATTCTTTTACTAAACAAAACAATTGAGATTTGTATAGACTTGTTATACTTTATGCGTTTTAATAGTACATTAACAGCAAAACGTGACGCTAATTCGTATAAACGTTATATTAAGCAAAAAATAGAACTTTTTGACACTATTATGCGTAACAATAAGCTTGATATATTGAAAAAATTTTTATAAAAAGCTTTGTTGATTTGTATAAATAAACTTAACATTAAATTTAAAGCGTATCAAATAATATATTGTCCGCAGATACGTAGCTATAATGTAGTTCGTTTTATTACTTTAAATACCAATTTTACGTTAGAAGATTAATTTATTTATAAAAAATTAATTAGAAATAAAACTATTATATAAGTTATATTATTTGCAGCTTATAAAAATACTTTATATATTTACAATTATGGGAAATATTTAAAATTACTTACTAAGCAATGAAGTTTTGTTAATAAATAATTAAAGTAATTAATTTAAAGAGTTTAAATTTTAATATAAAAATAGAAAATAAGACATTTCACATTAATTAAATTATTGTCAGAGAAATCTTAAATAAACTTTAATATCATTTTTTATTGTTTCCTTTTATGTACTATACAGTACGTCAAATACTTCCGATCAATATTTAAAGTATTTGAAGTACTGTACATAAAAGGAAACAATATTTAAAGGTAGGGAATTGCCATTATTTAATTTTTGTGTAACTTTGGCACAGATTTAAGCATCAAAATACCTTCAGACTATGTAACTTACGGCATGCCAATGGTCGAGTGGCTAGAGCACCTAAACACGATCACGGACACGGTCACGGGCGCGTGGACTTTTGCACATTTTCTTTGCGTGTCTAACACTTAAATATGAGTCAATTTTCTATAGAACAGTCCTCTTGGAAAGCATCCCCTTGACGTATTGGGTATCTGTTGCGTTACCTTATCCCATCAAACCAATCAGTACAAATAACGTATTTATCATATCTTTTTATCTCGTTTTATGTATAAACCAATTTGAAAAATATTGTTTCGTTATTAATTATAATCTAGGCAGAATATTTCAACAATTTATCACTCGAAATATTCATTTATTTAAAAATAATAATTGCTCTCTTCACGCAAGACATCGCTATCTGATAATGAGGAGTGCTTGAGGAATTTCTGTTATAAAATTATCATTTTGTTACCAAACAAAAATCTCTATTAAATTTATTAAATTAAATCTATTAATTTTAAATATTTTCGTATTCTTTTTATAACAATGATGTGAGAATTCTGAAAACATTTACTAGAATACCTTCATAATAATAACAATAATGGTAATAATAATCATAAAATTAAGCATTAAAATAAAAATAAAAGTATTAAAAAAACAATTCATTTTAATGGAGAGTTGCTTAGATAATTATAAAAATACTTTTAAAATCTTAAAACGATTTAAAACGAATGATTTTTAAACAAATAATTACCTTAATTATTGTAATTGATAAAACCTTTACAATCGTAGCCATAAAAATTGTCATTATGATTAAACTAATGGTACATTTACCTACAAAATCTCATCTCAGATATTACGAAGCAAACTATCTAACCTAAGCACTCATTGACGTCATCAGCTATATATATAATTCTGCTTTATGTTGATTGATTCGACCGAAATGTGTAAATTTCTGTAATGATTCCAGTAACAACAGTTAGCTTATGCATGCTTAATCCCATTGGAAATTACTTCTGGTGTACATATTTACAGATGTTTAAAATCTTTGTTTTTAGAATTTTATTCTATCAAATCCGATCAAAATATTATCCTTAAAAATCTTATTTTTTCGGTTAATAATATTTTTCAACTGAATTAAAAATCTCCTCTTTTTCAAAGAGAGTCTTTGAAAACTTACAAATCCATACAAAGAGGATTAGAAAGAGCTGGAAAGATGCGATTCCAAGCTTGAAAACTATTTGAGAACTTTATAAAATTGTTTATTTTATAAGTTTTTGATTAAAATACGATAAAATTTTGATGGATAAATTTAATTTTTTTTTAAATTTAGGTAGCCCATTATGGCTTCTTTTACACATAGCACCCATTAAAAATGAAAAAGATGTTGTTGTTTTATTTCTGTTGACATTTCGGGACATAACAGCTCTGAAACAACCTCTGGAAGACGATGCAGCCAAAGGTAAATATTTTTTATAGCCCTAATGAGTTAAAAATAACTTAAAATTTTATATAAAAATTCCTCATTTCCATTTATCATTTTATTTCTTCTATTTTTCATTTTCGATTGTAGAAAAAAATAGAGGCTAATTTCGATAGCAATTTCTTCAGTTAAAATAATTATCGTTAAATTAAATTTATTTAAAATATATCGCATTTTTGTAAGAAATATGCATTTTAATTAAAAATTTTTGTATTTTTTTAAAAAATAAATTATTATTAATATCTTTATGGCAAAAGTTGGGATGTTGGATTTGCTGAAATTTCAAAAATTTCTGGAATATATCCAAATATTTCAAGAATGAACACCTGGAATATTTTTCTATATTTGGAAAATTTATTAACTTTTTCCATTGAAACAACTCCAAAAAAGTTTGAAGAGTAAAGCTTTTTATAAAACTCATAAAAACATATTTTGACTTATATAAGTATATATATCACAGATGTGATCTGAATGAAGTTAAATTCTGCTGATGATGTTAAAATTACTTTAATCAAATAATTAAATTTTAAAAATTGTTTATTTATTATGTTCAAATTTCGAATAAAACTTCAGTCGTTCATTTTTTAAAGTATTTTATTTATTTATTTATTTATTTAAATTAGTACAAGGTTTTCCACTTGTACGGAAAATTAAATAGTTTATATTTAATTTTTGTAAATAAATTCGAAAATAAACTTTACTAATTTTCATACAGATACAAATCTTTTAATTTTACAAAAGAATACACTTTATATAATTGAATTTCTGCCTCTTTAATTAGCATATAAATTTATATTACAATTTGCTTATATTTTATTCATATATTTCTTTACTGTAACTAGGGATATGCTTCGAAATCAATATAGGATACGTAATAACTTAATACAACTATATATAAATGGTTATGAGCTAACTATTATGCAAATTTATGTAAAAAATTTATCGACAAATTTACATAAATTGCGATTAATTCTATATTGATGATTTTGTGGAGCTGTGTGTATTCATTTATTAATTTATATGATTTTGTTTACAAACAGATATGTGATGCTGTTGAATATTATTTTTTTAGCAGCTGTTGGTCTTAGTAAGTTTGCTCGATTGGCGAGATCTGTCACCAGAAGTCGTTCAGTCCTTGTCCAACAATTCTCTTCACATATTCCTGCAATAAAGTCCGAAAATGCCAAACAATCGCAGATTGCTCACGTAAGAAACCGCCATTAATTTTTTCACTTGTAATATCTATTTATTAACTTAGGTTTTATGGTTTTCAGATGATAAGCTTGAATTCCGATGTCCTGCCCCAATACCGTCAAGAAGCACCCAAAACTCCACCCCATATTCTTCTCCATTATTGCGCCTTCAAAGCTATCTGGGATTGGGTGATACTATGCCTTACCTTCTACACTGCCATTATGGTGCCCTATAACGTTGCGTTCAAAAATAAAACGAGCGAAGACGTTACTTTACTGGTGTTGGACAGCATCGTGGACGTCATCTTTTTCATCGACATCGTGTTGAATTTCCACACAACATTTGTCGGACCTGGAGGTGAAGTTGTTTCGGACCCAAAAATCATCAGGATGAATTATTTGAAGAGTTGGTTTATTATTGACCTCTTATCGTGCCTACCTTATGATGTCTTCAATGCCTTTGACCATGATGACGATGTAAGTTCTGAGTAATTAGCGAGGTTGCGGCCGACGTTCTCAATGCGAAAACGTGTACGCCGGACGTTCAGCGCCGCCATCCTGTAAGCCTAGAAGTTTAACAATGGCGTTTGGAACGTCAATGAAATCATACTCGACCAATGAAATCATACACCATTGTCAAATTTCTAGGCTTACAGGATGGCGGTGCTGAACGTCAGACGTACACGTTTTCGCGTTGAAAACGTCAGCCGCAATCTCTCTATTAAAACTTTACATATTACGTCTGGAAGATAAATAATATTTTATTTTATAGCAAGGAATCGGCAGCCTCTTCAGCGCCCTGAAAGTGGTTCGCCTACTTCGACTCGGTAGAGTTGTAAGAAAGTTAGATAGGTATTTAGAGTACGGTGCAGCCATGTTAATTCTCCTTCTCTGCTTCTACATGTTAGTAGCCCATTGGCTAGCTTGTATTTGGTATAGCATAGGACGTAGCGATGCCGAAAACAATTGCACTCATAGCTGGTTATGGAAATTATCCAATACAACCATGAAAGATTTTCATTTTCGCATCTCTAATCAAACTATGAAAGGTGAATTAGTGGATGGGCCTCCTCGTGGTACCATGTACGTTACAGCTTTATACTACACAATGACGTGCATGACCAGTGTAGGGTTTGGCAACGTTGCAGCTGAGACTGACAATGAGAAGGTTTTCACCATTTGCATGATGATCATCGGAGGTAATTAGCATTAATCTTTGTCATATTTTAAGATAATGAATCGAAATTGATACAGCAAACTTATCAATCAGATTACAGAAACAAAAAATTAAATATGAAAATTATTATTAATATTGTTCATATTTGATTTTTGTCAACTGCAATGAATTTAAATATCATTTGAAAGGAATTTTAATTATAATCGTTTGAATGTAGTTTTCTTAACTAAAATTGCTAACAATGATGAATAGAAAGTTTTGTTAATTATTTCTCTCTCGAGATTATTATTAAAATTATTTTCAAATTTAAGCAATTACGGTTAGGTAAACCACATTTTCAATTAATAATCATTAAGAAAATAATGTTTTCAAATACTTTTCTATCGAATATATTTTTATATCTATTTTGGAATGATGCTGTCTATTTTCACGTAAATTTTTGGTTAAATTTATCTCATTTTCTATTTTATAAAGTTACCTTAGTGAACAATAGTTTACCTTGTAATTACAACGCATTTTAAAACGAGGAAATTCGTTTACAGCTCTTCTTTACGCTACAATTTTCGGTCATGTTACAACAATCATTCAACAAATGACATCAGCAACAGCTAAATATCACGAAATGCTTAACAGCGTGCGGGAATTTATGAAACTCCACGAGGTGCCTAAAGCATTAAGCGAACGAGTTATGGATTACGTTGTTTCCACTTGGACAATGAGTAAAGGAATTGATACGAAAAAAGTATTTGCCTTGTTTTAAAGAATCATAAATCATATCTTTTTTTCTGACAGAGATTGATTTACAACATTATTTCTTTCTTCCAGGTATTGAGTTACTGTCCGAAAGACATGACAGCCGACATCTGTGTCCATCTAAACAGAAAAGTTTTCAACGAACATCCAGCTTTTCGGCTTGCCAGTGATGGTTGCCTCAGAGCACTTGCTATGTACTTCAGCATGGATCACAGCGCACCTGGTGATTTGCTGTACCATACTGGAGAAAGTATAGATACACTGTGCTTTGTCGTCACTGGATCGTTAGAGGTTATACAGGATGACGAAGTAGTTGCTATTTTAGGTAAATACCGAATTTTGTTTTATAGAAAAAAATACATAAAAATATAGAAAAAAATTCTTTGCGTGATTATCTAAATGTCAAACTAACGATACGAATTTTGCGTGACGGGAGAAGGTCGTCACGTTTTACATTATAAAAAAACAATCATAAATGATCATTTTAGTAGAATCCGGTGCGAAGGTCAATTGCGGGAAGTGGATGTATTATTATTTTTATTTTTAAATTTACTAAAACCAAAATCAATTTTTTTACACAAAATCGATAATGATATAGTTCAAAAAGTAATTATTTATATAATTATAAATTTAATCTAACATTTAGCGAGAATACTTAAATATGATGTATAACATTTGTAAAATAATTGCAGATTCTCAAATAAAATATGTTTAACAAGTTTCCAATGGCAAAAATATAAGAAAAATTGAAAAAAATCTTTAAATTTTTGTTTTTTATTATCTCAGAACATATAGGTTTATTTCCCTTCATTTTGAAGATTGAGCAACACATGGCCTTTTATAACATCCTCTTTTATTAACAATAAGCAAACTCGATTTAACCATCTAAATGCAATCTTTAATTAATTTTGTAAGTGAATTTAACGTAGTTTATATGAGAAATCTAATCTGAAAAGTAAAAATCTTCAGCAAAATACATTTTCTTTATCTCAAATTGTTAAAGTTTAAAAAAGCGCTTTAGTCTTTTTCCCTTTTTTTTGCATCGTTTAAACGGAATAAAAAGTTTAAAAGTTTGATAAAATGGTTTTCTGCGAATTTTTATAGTTCAATAATTAAGGATGCTGGAGATCGTAAAGTATGGGTTGGGTTTCCGTTGCAAAGGTCAATCGCAAGATGTTTCATCATCTACATGTGTCTGGGCGTTTGCTTTCTTTGATGGGATTTTTGAGAATAATGCTGTTAAATGTTCATTTCATCCGTCACGAAACTGAAAAGGTCGGTGTTAATCTTCACTTAGTCTCCTGACTAATTTAATGAGCCTTGACTGATCTATATATCCGTAACGAATAAAAATTCATAAATCATTTAACAAACGGTTCATGAATATTATGAATATATGATAGTGTATTAATGGAATATTTAAGTGCTAAAGAGGAGGAGGAGGAGGAGAATCTTTTAGGAACTTTCTTTTAGCTAAATTAGAGCATTTGGAAGTTTAGTATATTTAATATATCATCTATCAGTACAAACGTCTTTCGATCAACTAAACTTTTGGATTCATTTTATGGAAAAATTACGAAAAATTAATTACTCATAAAGTGTTTGAATTATCCTTCTCAATTTCTCTATGAATTATTATTCTTAATTAATACTCTCTTGTACTGTAATTAGATTCAATTTAATATTAGAATTTTTATTTATTTCTTTTCATATGATCAAAACTATTTACAATTCCTTTGTATTTATTAAAGAATCTTCCTATTTTATGTTATTATCTAATGTTAAATCTGTGTTTTTCAAGCAGAATAAACACTTCTAATTATATTTTTGCTGATAAAGAACACATGAATAGTATCATTTGCACGTTTTTATGCTTAATTTTCGTCGAATTAATTTTAATTGTGTCTTCGGACGCTGGAAAGTATTCATCATGTATAAACTGATTTTGAACACAATGAAGAATAGTCCTTCAGCCCTTCTTTTAGACTGGAAAAAGGACTGTTTCTCTTTGTGTTTAAAGTCATCTTACATACGTTTAATTATATCTGTACTAATTAATCTTTTCTGCAGTTTATTTGAGAAAAAAATTAATTACAATAAACAAGCATTTTAAGCAAGAAAAAATGAATACATTGGCGTTTAGAGTGTATAAAAAATTCATGTTTTTTAATGTTCTAAAGGTTATGAGAATGAGGGATGCTATTAAATGTAAGCCAGCATTTTTTATTATTTATTTATTTTTGTTAAATTCCACACTACACATTACGACACGTTATATAAATAAATGGATGTATATTTTATTTGATTCTACTATTTATTTAAATGCCTTTTTATATTCAAAATTCAATTTTTATGTGCAAATAAATTTCATAGCTTAAAACTGTTTCAAATGAAACCCATTTAACTTCATCAGAATGATAAACATGTAAAACACGCCAAAGACTTATATGATAATTTAATTTAACTATAAAAATTCTTACATTTAAACCTCCTGCAATGTTCTAAACGTCTTTCATTCATCATGGCAGAATTCTTTTGTTCTCAGTCGCTTTCCATTTTATTTTATTGAATTGAACTTCTAACCACATTTCTCTGACAAGTGAGCTTATTTACTCATATATTTGTCTGTAGTTCTTTATAAGCTATATCAACTCTATAGAAGCATTAATATAAGAAGAGTATTTGAAAAAATGGCTAAATTATTAGATTTTTACAACAAAGAAATGGAGTAAAAGAATAGAAAAATATATATATAAAAGTTTGATAATAGGAGTATCAAAAGTGAATTTTTCGATTCATTCTAACAAAAGAAATATCATAGAAATGAGATAAAAATAGCAGCTTTTTCATAATGAAATACTAATAGAGAAATAAAAGGATATTTTATAACTTTATAGATATAAACGTGATGGCAGATGGTATGAATTTTTTTTTTGAGTTCATACCTCACAAAGGATTCTTAGTTTCATTATATTGTAATTTCGTGAAAAAAAAATCACAGGGTGTAATCACAGACGAGGCAAGTTCTGTCTATAAATACTTTACTACAGGTTACTTTACTTTCAACGTTCAACTTTCTTAGTGGGCTATTCGAACATCTCATTTGGGGCAAAGTAGGTCACGCGTATAATGTTTCTGCAGGTGGTGCTTTTAGTATATTGCCTCCAGAATGTATCAAACATGCGATTAATGTGTTTCAGCTGAATTACCGTGGATATTTCCCGAAATGGAATAAAGATAACTTGTATTAATGAAGAATTGATTGCTCTGCTTAAATGGTGTATTTCTCTGATTTACATGAAGTAAATTAAAATTTTATTGATTAAATATGTTTTTATCGTTCTTGAAGTTAATTTAATGAGATTCACTTATTTTTTAAAATTTTTCTTTCATTATAAACCGATATGAATTTTACTTACGTTTATGATACCGCTTTGTTTGGCTTATTGTGTGATCTTTAGCACTTTTAAAGTTAACTAGTAGTAACTTTAATACCTTAATAAATTATTATAATCTTTTATTTTTCGTATAATTGATATATTATGACTAAAAGTAACTTAGCTTTTAGCATCCTAGAGCAAAAACTTACAAGGTGCCCGAAAAGTAGCGATACATAGGAAAATTTAACATTTATTAGAGAAATGTAACTTTAATTACACGATAAAACTATTTTTACATATCGGCTATTTCTTTCCAAATATACGAATGCGCTTAAGCTAAACTCATGTTAACATATCAAATGTTATGCACCTAATTGAAACATCAAATGTATTATCTAAAGGAATTCCATTAGAATGATCCATGTTTTGAATCTTTTCCTGGCACACCAAAGACTTCAAATACACAGACAAAAGTCAGGGAATTAAGGTCTGGAGACTACGATGATCAATTCATTAATTAACCTGGAAACTTATGATCCAATTTTCCTATGTATCTCGACTTTTGGGACATCCTGTACATCAATAATGCTTTTTCATATAATACAGATATATAATATATATTTTTAATTAAGTTGATGAGATTAAACATATTAAATATCATATGTTAGTTAACATAAAATTAATAATAATTGCATATTTATTATAGCATTACTATATAGAAATGAATTGAATTTTTACTTAAATTATTTTATGCTACTAAACATAAAATCTGAACGATTTATTGTCATACCATTTATAACAAGTACGGTCGATTCCCCTATAACACTGTTGATTATTCCGTTTTATATGAATTCCGTGTTGTACGAGTCACTTAGATTTTACAAATACGTGTGCCGGGCTGTGAATGGCTCATGTATTTGTAAAATCAAAGTGACTCGTACAACATGGAATTCGTATAAAACAGAATTATCAACAGTGTTATGGGGGGTCGACTGTATATTTATATTTTTTAAGAAAAATGCAAATTACAAGATATATTACAGAAACATTATTTTTTAATTATAATTTTAACGTAGTTTAATGATGAATTAGATAGATTACAAATGCATGTTTTTTTATTTTGGATTCTCTCAAATATTACGTTTTAAATTTAAAAAAACAAATTCAAATTATAATAAGTGATAACTGTGGTGTATTCTTGTAGATCATTAATATAAATTAACAAAGTAAAATAGATTTTATTCGAGTTATTAAGATTCAAATATAAATAATGTTTCCTAATCTTACGTTGTTTCCAACTCTGATAAAATACAAAGACTAACTCTCTCCATTGATAAGAGAAACTATTCTTAATCTTCAATTCACTCTTCTATATACCATAATAATGCAGGATTTGATTCTATTCTGATAAAAATTAAGCTGCTTCTAGTAACAAAACATGAGCTATATACAAATAAACTAAAAAAAAATAATAAACTATAAGTAAAGAAATATTAAAGTTAATCATTAGCTTTCAAGCAAAATTAAAGATTATACAACAACTTAAACAGGAGTTATCACAATAAAATAAAATCTTTTATTAGTTTACAATGAAGGAAAATTTAAAAAAATGGATTAGTGATTTAATATTAAAATGTTAACATCTTATTTTTTTATATGTTAAATATAAATAAAGTGATATCTGGTTAATGAAAATAAGATGCTCGTCATATGCCTTTTATTCTTTCGAAAAAATTACACAGATAATTAAATTTAATACATTTGACAATTTTCTTCGTAAACTGGTTTTAAATATTCAAAAATTTAATTACACAAAATTATTTATTATCTGATTCTGAAAGACGAGTTGTGCTATCGCGCGTACAGCTAAAAAAGTCATTTGACCATCAATTTATTACATCTTATCAACAGTAATACTGTTGTTACATATTAAAAACATTATTAA